CAGCCGCGGGACCGTAAGCTCAAGCGCCTAATGTTCCGCGGGAAGAGTTCACTCTGCGCCTGCGCGCAGAGCGTGCGCAGTGGTGGAGGCGGGGGTAGGACCCGGTAACGTGGGCGGGGCGGATATCTCGCAGCAGCTGGTGCACTGGAAAGCTACGAGCGGAGAGGTTTATCCGAAGCCACCAGATTCCAGAGGGGGACGCTGCGGGGCGTTGGACCCCAGACCAACGCTTGGGGTCTGTGGATCCTGTTGATGGAGACGAACGAATTCTCGGCGCGTTTCTGGAAGGGTTTGCAGGGCGGGGCCGAAAAATGTGGGAGCCGTAGTATCACAGCCCACATGTGACGTCATAACACTGCATAAATGAGATAGGTAGACCTGGCGGAGCCCGGGCGTATCTTGCCAGAGGCAAATGTGACGTTACAGCGCCTTAGTGCCTTGGAAGGTGGGATGGGATTCCTTTGAGCCAGCTCTGGAGACACCAAGATTCCAGGGGTGGGGTTGGGTATGTTATCACAGGTCCCACATTCTTGGAACTGAGGTTATATCTAGGAGCCCTAGACCAGCCCACCGCATTTCTTCTTTCCCCCACAACCCTATGCTAGCCCTGACTCCCGCGGCCAAGAGGTCTGAGGAAAAAAAGGCCCATTGTACGCCCCAGACCCCTGGCTACATTTCAGAAGAAGGAGGTGGAACCTGAACCTCTTCTTGAGAAGAAACCCCTGCGAGCTTTTCTTTCTCCACGGTGTACCGATCTCCTCCCAGAGCACCTGGGAGCTCCAGGCTGCCTTAAGGGCTTGTCGCGCTTTCTACCTGTTCAGCAAAGAGATCCAGCCGAGTAGCCCCGCTCCCTTGCCCCTCAGAGAAACAGATGGCCTAGCAGCTTAGGGAAGGACTCCCGCTGAACTCTCCTCTCGCCTCCTTCACTCCCGAAAGCTGGGCACCTGAGACCACAAAAGCTTAATGTCTGAAGACTGGGGTCGGAGAAAGATGGGATCTTCTAGGCGTGTAGCGGAAGTGGGGGGGGGTGTCCCCTTTGCAGAGTGGGTAGGCAATAAAACCCATCCAAGCATTTCCGGCATTCTCATTGCCTTTTCTTGCGACCCACAGAGTAGGAGCTGGAAACTGTCCCCCAACCACGTTGCTAGGAAAGGTAGCCTGTGTGAGGTCTTGTGGCCAGAATCCCCAGATTGCCCTTCCATTTGCTGTGCTGTTACTACATAGTGTATGAGCAATCACTGTCACAGTATAGACAGCGAGCTATGCTGACAAGTGACTTCTGGGTCCATCAGGATGATAGAACCATGGTAGAGCAAGGCAAGGCAATGGCATTGTGAGTGGTGGAGGTCTTTGGGCAGTACCCTGCCCCACTCCCAGCCCCCCTCTATAAACCCTGTGCTGGGAATCCATTCTTCTACACTTGATATCATCGAAAGTCAGTTGCAGGGTCTAGGATGGAAGGACGGGGATTCAGGTTACCAGAGGTGGCAGGGGCCAGAATGGAAAAACTCCTGCGAACCTCCCCCATTTCACAGCTTTCAGGTCTTTGGGGAGGGGCTAACTGCAGAGGCTCTTGTTGTCCTGGAGGAGTGGGAGGTGGCTAACTTGGGGTGGAGTGCGTTGGGCGGGGGCGGAGCGGGGCGCAGCAGTAGTAAATCCTCAGGAAAGATGGGACCCCAGAAAGAGCAGAGGAACTGAACGAGGCGCTCCGTAGATCCTCAGGGGTGCCCAAAGCTCTCTGTGACAGGTGTATGTACTCAGTCACTGTCGTCTTGGAACAACCACGTCTCCCGACCTCCTGGGGCTTATGACAGAAACGATGTGGGCCTGCCATGGACCCTCACGTAAGCCATGGCCAAGTGCAGACCATACTACGGACTGCACTGGCTGGGCTAAAGCCAAGTCCAAAACCCACTGAATAACTCTCTCTCTCCCTCTCTGCGCCCAGAGATCACAGTTCTCTGGGATCCAGACTCTGGTCTGTCCCGGGTCGCCTCCTTATGAAGCTGCAGAAGAAGGGCTGTGATCTTGCCGGACTAGCGGAGATCCCTCAGTCCGGTCAAGACCCGGCAGCTCACGGTCCTCATTCGCAGTGGGCCGTGGAACCGATCAAGAAGTTTTTGAGCGCAAGACCAGATATCCACAGGGGTGGTGGACAGGGGCTGCGGCAGAAAGTTCTGCCGAGTCCTCAGCAGGACGCACTGAGATGCCCCAGTCCTGATCCGCCCCTCCAGGCCTGTCCAGCAGGGGGCAGCGTGGCTCCGAACGCGGAGGGCAGGGCTCTCAGCGCAGGCCCAGCCAAGGCCACCGGGACACGTTGGGCCCCGGAACCGCGGAGTTCAAGCCCGCAAGGGGGGCGGGTATGCGCAGAGGAGGTGACGATGGTTCAGTGAAAGTCTAGAGCGTTTTAACTCGTATGGCCTGGGCTTCCTTTCTCAGGCCGCAGGGCTCTGCCGGAGGCTGGGACCTTGGGTCCCCGTTGCAGGGAAGCTCGGCCCAGCGTTCTTCGCGGCCGCTGAGCTCCAGGCTCAGAAGCCCGAGAGGCCGAGCGCTCGGCTTGGGAAAGGCCGCGGGCGCTACCGCCTGCGCCGCCCTGCGGTCAGGACACTGGAGCTGGGGGAGCCCCGCCCCGCCCCAAGAAGGAGAGCCCCCGGCGGCCTGGCCTCTAATTGTGGGAAAACTAGACGCCCCGGGGAAGGTTCAACTTGTGGAGGGAGGACTCAGATTTCCCCTCCTAAACTTCCCGGGCCTCCCAGGGCGCCCGCCCCCGCCATTCCTGACGAGGCTTTAAAAACTGTAGGGAATCTTTGGGCGTGGAGCCGTACTCCGGGCAGGGGATGAGACCCAGCCAGAGAATTGTATCGGGGGGATCCTAACGGAGGGAGGGTTGTAGGTTTGGGGCTTTGGGGAAGCAGCGATGATTGTGCATTTGCAGCGGGGTATTGGGGCCCTGGGGACAGTACTGGTCCTGAGGCTATACGTGAAGGCACCTCCCCAGCACCACCACCACCACCACCACCAAAGCAGATGCAGGAGGCCAGTAGGAAAGCCTTTGGTTGGAGAGGTGGGTGACATTCTGTTCCCTTAGTGGATCTTAAGCGACCCTGGCACCCGGAGACGTTGTGATTTTTTTAAGGCCGAAGTAGTGGCTGCAGGCTGGGCTTCCTTGTAAACTACCAGCCCCATGGAGGTGAGGGGTGGGGACACTGAGACCCTAAAGACCGAAGTGGAGGAGTAAAGTACGAAAATAAACACGTGGCCGGGGTAGACCAACACAGGGAGAGAGGAGGCTTCTCCACCCATCTCAACCCTATCACCCCAAGAAGGCCGGGTTTCCGGAAGCGGGGCAGGTTGGAGCGGGCAGGGAATCCTGCTCCTCTGAAGGAAAGAAGCCTCCCAGTGTCCTGTTTGGGAGGGAGAATACCCATCCTGCAATGCCTGTAAAATAACCGTTTATTTCATATTTAAAAAAACTCCAGTGATAAATGTCCGTTACCGATGGTCAGCATAAAGTGCCAATCGCAATACAATGCCCTGCTCCTAGCCGGCTGCTCTCTCGTGGTGATGGGACGGCGGAACAGGGGAGCCGGAGGCCGGGCCCGCTGCAGCCGCAGGGCTCAAGGCCCCCGCCCCGCCATCCGAGTCCGAGGGCCCACGGCCGACCGGCTGCGGAGCAGGGAGGGGGCGCTCCTTGGCCCCGCGGTCCCAGGGCCCGGCGGCAGAAGCAGATACACGGATTACACTTTTGCAGGCTCCCGGGGTGGGGATGGGGACGGGAGGAGGGGGTGGATTCTGCAAACGCACAGAACTTCCTTCCCTCTCCCCTCTCTCTCCGCAGGCAGAGTTACAAGCTTATATGGTCAAAGAAAAAAATAATAAAGTAAACGTATAAAATAACAATAGAAAAAGTAATACTTCTGGGAGAGGCGCCGCTGCGGCTCCGCGGAGCTTTCGTTCTTTTTTTAAATGCAGTTTCCCTTCCGCCACGTGAGTACCGCCTTTTGGCCAAGACTTTAGCCGCGTCCTGGGGGAGCCGCCCTGGCGGCTGGGGTCACGGCTCCGGGCGGGGCTCTCGAGTTCCGCGTGCGCCCGGGACCCAAGGGACAAGTCTGGGATATGGGAAGGTCCCGGGAGCCCCTCCCGCTGCCCGCCAGAGTCGCCTTCGGCTTCTGGTCCCTCTGGAGGAGGGGGTATCGTAACCCAGGGTCCTGGTGACCTGGAGGCTCTTTTAGCATTTGATCTTGGAGGTTTTGAGCTCCTTCACCTGTGAGTGTAGCGTCTTGTGGACAGCGAGAGTCCTGGACTGGCAGAATCCTTTCCCACACTCTTGACACTTGAAAGGCTTCTCTTTGGAGTGAATGTATCTGGAAGCAAAAGCAGAATTAATCTTTGCAAAATGATGTAATGTTATAAACAGTTATCTAAGATCCCCTCCCACTGCAACCAGGCGCTTGCCCTCAAAAGAAAGTGGGGGGTGGGGACCTAGCGTGGAGTGGGCAAAATTCTAAGTTTGTGAATAGAGTAGGGAGGTGAAGGAAACTGGCAGGCAATATCTGATCCATCTGATACGTCAACGGGTCCAGCTAGGCCCACCCCTGCCTTCCCCAGGAGGGGGAAGCACTGTCTCCTTATAAGGTCTGGGTTAACAATAAAGGTGAATGAGGGGACCCAGGGGCAGGGAGGACAATTTGCTGGAGCTGTGCTGTCCAAGCGGGCGGCCACTAGCCACATGTGGTTATTAACATGAAAAGTAAGTAAAACTAAAAAGTTAATTTCGCAGTCACACTAGTTGCACATTTCAAGTGCTGGGCGGTCACATGAGTCACGGGTCCCCCTGCCCGTCACCGCAGAAACTTGGACTGAACAGCACTTGCAGATGCACAGGTGAAGGAAGGGATGAGAAGGCTGGCATGCCTGTCTGAAGCTCATGGAGACCTGACTTATTCTCCCCAAGCTCTCTCCACCCATCCTCCAAGAACCTATGCCTAAGCCTTGTATGGCTTCCTTTGCGATGTTAGAGAATTCCCAGAAACTGGGAGGCCTGGAGAGCCCAAGTGGGGCTCAAGAACCACCTCATTAGGGAGGAGGATGGTGAGGACAGTGACAGACAGCTTTGGGGGGGGGTGCACACGCAGTACCTGTGGTCCCGTAGGTGGTCTTGCCTCCGGAAGGCTTTGTGGCAGATGTCACACGTGTAGGGCCGCTCATCTGTGTGCGTCCGCTCATGGATAAGGAGGTTGTAGGACTTAGTGAAGTGGCGGCCACAGAACTTGCAGACGAACTCCTTCTTGGTCTTGGAAGGCAGGCGTCCCCTCGTGGGCTTCTTTTCCGGGGACAGCTTGGTTACATCCAGGAGGGCACCCAGCCCACCAGTGGGGGAGCCAGGACCTTCCCCCCGGCCAAGCTTGGATGGATCTTCCTGCGTGGCAGCTAAGGCCAGGTTGGCAAAATCAAAGCGTGGCTTGGTCTTGAGCACAGAGGGGCCACTGCCTCCAACGGTGATCTCAGGCTTAGGCTGGATTACGTGGGGAAACCAGGGAAAGGCGGGCAGCTGGAAGCGTGTGTCCACGAGGCTGGACACGGCGCCCGGGACTTTGGAGAACGAGGAGCGCGGCAAGTGCATGGCAGGGTAGCCCAGCGTCCACTGGTGCAGGTGCACAGCGTGCAGTGCGCTGAAACCGTACAGATTAGGCAGGTGGTCCGAGGGCACCGTGGGCAGGCCATTCACCGCCTGAAGGAAGGAGTAGTTGGTGAGCTGCAGGGATGGATGAATGGGCACTGGCGCTGGCAAGGTTTTGCTGCCCATGGCGGTAGCTGCAGTGGGTTGTCAGTCGCAATCTGCAAAAAAAAGAAGAGAAAAGAAGGGAGAGAAAAAGAGAAGTTCAGAGTAGGTCACCCTCTTTAGGAATTCCAACTCAGCCACACCCTCTCTGTGCCCCAGGGCAGACGCTGGGAGTCTGAGACCCCACTGGGGGAACCCACTGCCCTCAGAGAGAAAATGGAACCTTCTCTGATGCTAGGGCTCCCTCCACATGGCCATGGCAGAGACACACAACTTGCTACAGAAACCAGCAGGAAACAAATCCTATGCAATGCAACCAACTTAAATGAGGGCCTACAGTGGAGGCAGAAGCTGGGGGAGACCGGTGTGTGGAAATTTACATCCACGCAAACCTGAGTCAACGCAGAATTTCACTCTCCGGCGAAGAGAACAGGAACTTGGAAGCACATTTACATGTTCATGTGCAGATAAACAGAAATGCACAATGACAGATAAACACAGATTCACATGTTCTGAAGCAGAGATGACAACAAGGTGGCAAGATAAACTGAGATGATCAGTGTTGTGCTGCTAAACAAAATGCTGGCGTGAACATGTTCACGTGTGCATGTGCGCGCACACACACATGCACACATGGGATTGCATGGAACCCACGCAGGGCCTCCAGGGAGACAGCACACATACAAACACACACAGATCTGTACATCTCCCAGCTCCTCTGCATTTAGCTCTACTTAGCTGATCTTCAGTCTGGCTTCTAGAAGCCATGTCATCTTTCTCCTCAAAGCTCTCAACTTTGACCTCAAATTTGCTTCTCTGCCTCACTATTAATGAGCCCTCTTGACACCACCCTCTGCGGCTGCTTTTGGGCTGACTTCTTACCTGAGCCCCTGGGAATTAATTGCCTTTGAAGGTGATGATACCCACCTTCATTTACTAATTCAGTCAAACATCTGCAGGTACATACAAGGGGGCTTCGGTGCCCTCCCTACTCCATCAAACAGGGTGCAGTGTCTCTGGGCTCTCGGATATTTGTGTGCGCAGTGACACCTGGGCAGGTGGGTATGCCTATGGGCTACAGTATTGAGGCCAATACAATCAGCTTCTATGCTCTCTGTGCCCTCCAACTGCGAGGCCAGGAAGCTGAAGTGACCAGCAGTCTGGCATCTGCTGGCCTCCTTGGTCAGGATCTCCAGCCTCCGTGGACAAGTCTGGGTTCTGCAGAGAGACCTTTCATCTCCAAGCCTCCCAGCCACTCTTAAGTCAGTCTGTCCAGTGGAGGCAAGAACATGGCGAAGGAAAAGTAGAAAGTACATGGTGGGCGGGGGGTGGTGGCTTGCGAGGCTCAAGTGCTGAACTCTCTCAGCTCTGAGCTGAGGGCTACTCGAGTAGTCACTGAGGGAACAGGGTGCTTGGTTCTTTGCCTGTCTCAATCCCCTGCTGCCCACTTTTCCCTTACCCCCATTTCCCCTCTTCTCTTCCTCAGATTGCTCCTCTCACCTTCCGTAAGCCCCCCTTCCTGGGTTGTGCAGGCCAGGGTACCGCTCCTACCCACTGCTGGACGCTGACACCACCCAGACAGTTCCCCTAGGCCGGCTTACCCTCAGCCCAAGGCCACAAGGCCCTGTCGGACTCGGCAGCATTTCACTGCAGCAAAGCTTCTCACGGGAGATAGCCCTGCCCTTTCAGGAAGGAGTATGGACAATCTCGATGCAGAAACCCTTTCCCTTGGAAGCTGTCAGAGAAGTCACTGGCTGAATAGTAGGCCCGCGGAGAAAGAGGTTCTGCAGGGGGTGGAAGGTGCAAAACACTGAAAGCCTGCAGAGATGTTCCCACTGCAGGTTACATTAGCAACCCGGCGAAAACCCAGCGTTAAGGCAGCACTTAATTCAGCCTGGCGCCCGAGGACCCGTGCCTCAGTAGCAGAAGGCCTCCCTACCAGTATTCCCTGCGGCTTGGATCACTGGTGGTCCGGTGATCCCAGAGCGCCGAGATCATCCTAGAGCGCTAACACCCCGCGAAGCAAAATACGAATTGGGGCAGAGAGAAAGCAGGGGCGGATTGGGGTTGGGAAGGAGAGAGGAGGGAGAAAGAGGACTCTCGCCAACTTAAAATGTTGGCCCACACTTAGGTGATTAGGTGAGGTGAGCGCTCTTTGATTTGCTGTCACCTCTTTTTCCCCTCCTGGCGCTGGAAATCAGATCCTTATTTCCGGCTCCCCGGGGCCGCCGGGGCCACCAGCACCTCCGCTTGCTTCTCTAGGTGCTCTGCCTATCGCCGGCCAAGAGAGCGGCGGTGACGGTGCGACTCTGGGCTGCAAAAGAGCCCGAGCCCTGCCTGTGCCCCGGTGGGGAACCCACCAACGTCGGGTACTAACCTGGCCTCTCCTCGCCTACCCTGCCTACCCTCAGGAGCCCAGAAGACCTGGGGCTCCATAGGGGGAGGGGGCTTTTGCAGCCATCACTGCTCTTGGGAGCCAACCTTTCCGGGCTATCTGCCCGATCTTGTGTCCCCCAACACTCAATTTATTTTCTTCAGCAGCACGGCCAGTTTCTTATTTTCTGCTGCATTCCGAGGCCAGGGCTCCCCAAGCTCTCGCCAACGACTTTCCCGGGGACGAAATTCGTTCGAAACGTGGCTCCTTACACTAGTACCAAGAATGGGCCAAATGCACGATCCGGTTTCAGGCGGTCAACTAAGAGAAAAACACAGTCTCACACTCGCCTCTCCAGCCGGAGAGGATGAACGAACTCCCAGCCCTTCCGAGTCCCGTTGCCCTGACCCGGGGGGCCCTTGTGTGAACGTTTTAGATTTTTAAACGCGAGGGCAAACACCTCTCCCCGGGCCAGGCATCCGCTTGGCAAGGAGCTTGAGCCTCGAGATCTGGGAGGCGCGGGTAAAGATCCCGACTACAGGCAGCAAAAGCAATTCGCGCTTCCAGTCCTGGGTCCCCCGCGCAGTGCAGGCGCTCCTTCCCTCGCGCGGTCGAGCGCCAATTCCAGGTCTGCAGCCAGCCCTATGCCGGGCATTAATGAAGTGTGTAGAGTCTATTAAAGTGGTTTATTCGGGGCTAATTGAGCGTGAGCGAGTTAACTGCTTGCATTAATGAGGACGGAGCGAGCTCCACGAGCTTTTGCCTGAAGGAGCCCACAGCAGCCCCAGAAAATCATCCTTGACATCGAATCCCCAACACGCGTGGTGACAGGCGTCCAGGCCCCTGGTGGGAGGACTAACCACCACCGGATACTTCTGTTGAATTCTCCCAACGAACGAGAGCGAACGAACCCTTCGGCTAGGCGGCCGTCCCGCGGCATTTAAACGCCCGCTGCGTCCTTAGCGGTCTGTTCCCCAGGCTTAATGAAACCGCAATTACTTCGAGGAGCCTCGGATAAAATATCCACCCACTGGTCGCCCCCTGTCCCTGTCAGCCCTTGTCTTCTCTAGGAGGCCGTGAGCCTGGGAGACCAACTTGCTTTGCACGTGGTTTCTGTTCCCAAAAGCCAGCGCGCAGCTCTTAGCCCGGTTGAAATTTACCAAATTGTGGCAACAAAGAAACCCTCGCAGCTACTTTTCACTCTGAGAGCCCATCCCGCTACTGCTCGAGCTGTTGAAAAAGGACTGGATGTGGGTTTTCGTTCTTCTGAACCTAGACATTTCGGGAAAGAAAGTAGTTCCGCAGGCAGCCCCTCACCTCTTTCCCTCTCTCCTCGGGCTTCCCCCTTCTCTCCTGAAGGCTGAGTTAGGGGACAGTCTGGGGGAGGAAACGAATCCTCGCCTTATAAGCCCCAAGCCGGAGACATGCACGGCACCCACAGCGTTTCTGCTACTTGGGCGTGCGAGTCTCCAATTGGGAAAGAGTGCTCGCGACCCCCTGCACTCTTCCCTGAACCGAGACGGTCGCAGGTTAACTCCCCAGGCCCTGACTACACAGAGCAATCATCCTATAGAGAACACCCCGAAGTCAGAGCAGAAGTGCGAGGCGGGGTCAGGCACGCGGCCCTGCGCTCCGGGTCCAGCCGGCCGGATACCCGAGCGCAACTACGCAAAACAACAAACTTGCACGAAAAGCGCGACCCGGCTGGGGCATGCACCTGTCCCTGGCGCCGTCGGCTGCGGCCGTGGCCATCCATCCATTCTCTCTTCCTTCTTCGTCAGCTAAAGTAGGTCAAACTGCGCTAGGCGCGCGTTTCGGGAAAGTTTCTGCCCGCTGAAGTTTCTTCGGTTTCTTAGAGGGGGGCCCACAGGCTGACTCCCGAAGTCCGCGGGCATCTCGCCGCGGATTCCTAGGAGCCTGGCAGCGCGAGGGCCAGTGCTGGAGGCCCGCCCCCTCCTTCCCCGGAGGTCAGAGGCCGAAAGACCCCGCTCGGGAAGTCCCTGAGCCAGCACCCCCAACCACCCTGGGCTGCAGCTGCTCTCACTTTCACTAAGGTCCTGCAGCCTCCGTTTGGCAGGAGGAGCTTCCTTCTGGGACACAGAGAGAGGAGACACCCGCCGCGCTGTGACAGGGGACCCGGGAGCGCTGCCCGCATTCCCTTCGCCGAGCAGGGGCGCCCGGGGCTGCAGTTACCTTGTTCCGCGGCGGTCCCGGGCTGAGGGAGTCTCTGGGGCTCCGCTGCGGGGGACCCGGGAAGCCAGAGGCGCTGGATTCCACAGGCACCCCCGGAGCTCTTGAGTCCTGGCCCCTCTCCGGCTGCGGGGACTCCGAGCGCCCAACGCGCGGGAGCGCTCCACTGGCCCGGAGCCCTGCCCCCCGGAGGACAGTGAGCCCCGCTCGCAGCTCCCTGGTTGGGTCTGAACCGGGAGCGGCTGAGAACTTGCTGGGGAGAGACCGAGCTCCGACTCACTCATCCCTTAGCACCGAGCCGCCTACTTATTTTAATCCACCACCCTCCTCCCTCCCTCCCTCCTTCTCCCTCCCGCCTCCCCTTGCTTCAGGATTCCTCCCCTCCCTTGCCTGTCCCCCAACCATGCCCTGCGCCTGCGCACTGAGAGACAAAGTTTTGCTGACCCGGGCAGCCGGCTTT